CCCGCCATAAATCCGAAAGACTCACTAATATGATGCGGTACCATGGCCAGATGACTGTTGTATTGATCAGACAGAAGGCAAGTCGGAAGATTAAGCTATGTCAGATAGGGCACGGAATGCAGGCGGTTTTTGAGGCAAACTCCAGGGGAGGTCAGGGTCAGGAGGGTTTGCGTTAGCAGTTAAAGTTGGGACATAGGAGTGGCTACCCCGCCGGAATTTAGCGCAAGGCCACATGTAATACGGGAAAGGGGTACTTGTACTGGACACACAACACTCCAATCATAGATCAGACACGGTTGGAGCGATCACTTTGTTCAGACGACCATAGCCCTGGAGGGAGTTGGCCACGCGGCAGAATAAGGATAAATACATACGCTCAGCTGGAAAAATTGGATATTTTTTCCTATTGCCTCACTCATGCCTCCACATAGTCGTAGTACACGAAACAACCACTCACTGATAACTGCCTCTGTCGTGGCAGAATAGTCTGCAATTGACGGAGTGGGTTGACTTCTTAACGTGCACATCAAAGAACGGTCCTCATTGCCAAGTAAAACACATTGCACGCACAGTCAGTAAAGTTCACAAGTCGCACTGTCGTGTTTCAGAGGCAGCAGTACGATTCGCCGGCTGAGAGAGGGGGGAGGTGCTTGTGTTTGTATTAAACAGCCACAGAGAGCTGGGTATCAGTAAGCGGTAGAGCTGCACAAGGTACACCGTACAAAAAGTGGTAGCCTCTCCTTACGATAATCTCGCTGGCACGGATGAACTGTGAGTGCACGCTGAAACAGTCCTGAATAGGTCAACTGCTAACGAACATGCTAATTAGAGGTGGAGGACGAAGTCGCATCTGAGTTTTTTTTTCTAACTAGGCTTCCTGTAGCAGTCTCTACAGATTTGAATATTCGAATGTGTAGAGTCCACTGTCGCACAGAATGAGAACTCGGCCAAGGTGTGTAGCTATCCACTGCACCCAATGCCATCTCCAGTCATTTCAGCAGGAAATGAGAGTCGTGCGAAAGCATTTTTATCCAATGGTTCGATATACGCATGCACGACCGCTTAACTAACTAGGGGCAAAAACTAAATAACTAAGGGAAACAAAAAAGGACCGGCAGAGATCTCCAACTGATAGTGAAGAGGTACCCGGCTACTCGTCAGCTTAGTCGTCTATCAAAGCCTGACTGAAGCGGGTCTAGTTACAAGATATTCACTTAAGCCATTCAGTTCCATAAACCAAG